CACAGGTTAACATATGCTTTAGCTACAGTCGGCGCTTGGGTGAAATGTTGTCATGGGACCGTGAGTGGATTCCAAAAGAAATGCGGTCCCAATCAACGCGCTTCCACATCAAACTCACTCTAGTAAATCCAGGAATCGATGACACGTGTGAGTCATGCCATGGAGAGAGTAGGGGAAATATTCTCCCAAACTCTGTGAACGTTGGCATTCTGTGGTAGTCCCCGGCCGTGGTTCAAAGCGGCTAACGCCCATTGGTACAAAACATGCATTTAAATGCACAGTAGAACGGAGGTGATCGCCAAATGGACGTGGTTTTAGTCTAGAGTCAACCGACGATGAAAATCAGGAAATCGCTTGGCCAGTGATTTGCGCAGTGTCGCGTTAACGGACAGTCATACAACATCCGGTGACCCGGTAAAAATATCGACCGGAGAAGAGAGCGGGATGTAGGAAATGCCAAACCTTAAATCTGATTTGTGGACAAGCGTTGAATATTCTATAAGTAGCACCAACAGTTGTTACCTAAAAACGAAAGAAAAGAGAGGTATGGAAACTTAGGAAATTTTCGGACAAAGCCGATCGACATGCAAGTCATCAGGGGAAAACCCAATTTCACAGCAGTACAAACGCAAGTGGAAATGTTATTTGGAACGGCAAAGTAAGAGGTATCCACCGCACCACTCCACTCGAAACAAAGGACAATCTGGAACATGATAAGAAAGAAATTATGTATATAGCTTGTTAAAGATCTCCAAATAACAAACCGGATTAATGGAGGGACACAAGCGTGCACCTTGCAGTTAGATGAATTAAGGATTGCGACACTTTGATTCACTCCCCGAATAACCCGCTTAACGCAATGTAGGTGGCTACAAACTTATGAACTCAGTCAAGTCAAGATGTCGGTTAGGCACATAAACAGGACGAATGGTAATCACAGGATGCACCCAGATGTACCTGAGAGCGAGCGGAAAGCACGTGTTGGGACATATCGGCATTTAGAGTGCTTTAATCAATTAAAAATTAAAACAAAAACTACCATGCGAGGTGTCGCACCCGACGAATGGGATGCAAACGAGGTAACTAATGTGATGAGATTCAGCGCTTTATGTGTGCTAACCGATGCTTAACTAAATTCCCCGATAACCAAACGTTACGCGTTCACGCCGCATAGGAACAAAGAGCACGTAGTAGACAGCCTCACGGTGTTTCTAGAATGCGTGATGACTGGTGATGAGCCCGGTTTACTCGCACCACCCAGTGTAGATGTTACCTTGAAATGAATGACGCCAATTCGAAAGGCATCCTTGCCCACTCACATCCCAGTAAGTGGGATTACTTGCCGGTAATGCTGATGGTTGTGTGAAAACTGCTCACGGTCAGGCCAACACGACTAGTGAGGTTCTGATTTTATCCAAAGATTCTCTGCCGAGCCCTCAGTGAAATAAGGCCGAAGATAGTCAATGAACTTACATTCAACTGCCAACACACAATGCCCAGTTCCTTTGCAAAGAGACTTTCTGGGTAAGGAACCAGCAGAGAAGCTACAAGCTAGTTCGATTAGCAACCGAGTTAAAATAGCTGGGTGTATAATTTTACTCATGTCAAGTTGTTTTGTGTATAAACGTGGAGAATGGGCAACAACCGATGGTATCCTCCTGGTCACAGAAACAAAATAACTGGTGGAATGTTTTCTCGCCCAGCGATCTAAATGATGAGTGGAGAAAGCACAACAAAAATAAGCCTTGGGAAACAGAAATGCCGTAGCCTTTCGAACCATGTGCGGTCCGACCAACACTTGTACTTCACCAGCTTCACACCAATGTGGTGCAAACCGTGCCAGACGAATTTGCTCGGCTTACTGTTTGGCCATAATATTATCAAACGATAACCATCGTAGATTTGGAAAAAAATCAAATAACTGGAATGGCTGAAGGATTTGGTGTATACGGTAGCCAAGAATTGACATCCAAGGATGACTTCATTATGATGAAGACAACCAAATATTTGATATCTGTTACTCAGAGAAGTTATAGCGTTAAGGTGACTGTCATGAGCCAGACTCGACATTCGCCGGTACGTCCAACGAAAGGAGCGCATCCGATCGCGGTCAACTCACAATGCACAGACTAATTCGTATGTGACTGCAGAGCTCATTTCATAGGCAGAACGGATAAAGGCTCACCTACTGAATAGGTGCCAAAGTTGGCTCGAGGACAAATCAGCAACCAGTTTCTTGGGTAGTCAGGCGACTACCGGTCACGAATCACCGGAGAGACCTCTGCTCTGAGTCTGACAGCGTTGACTCATTCTAATCCACGCTTGCTTCGTTCCGCCGATCATATCGCATTAAACCGGACAGTCATCTGTGTATTCAAAAACAGCTGCTTGTCAGTCTCACAACGTCATTAATCTACAAGTAAGGTTCACTTTGCACCCATGTTTGACTGCACCAACTGCGTCTCAGTTGTTGCTAATGGCACAGAATAGACAATAGGAAATGTATGCATACGTCAGAGTAAAGCATCTTACGGCACCTTAAAAAAACAAATTTGTTGGTATATGATGTTGGGAATGCTTTCAGGTTATATGTAAGCTCCTGAGTTAATGGAAACTACAGCACAGTTTCCCTAAAACAAGTCTCCGGATGTACACAAACCTCGTTCGTTTGCTAAACCTCTGCGAGAGCGCACCCCGCAGCTTATGCCGATGGTTTTTCCGTCGACCCAATGTTTTTTCCGGAGGTTTCAGCAGTGCTGGCAGTAACTTGGCATATCCCTAGATAGTATGATGTGCAAGCAGACGAAGAATATATGTATAAATAAAATATGTATGTTCTTCTGCCAGCACACCCTAATATGCGGACAAGGAAGGGTTAGAGGAGTGCATCTTGTTCATCCGGAGAGGGTCAATTGTACTTATCTGAAGTGTCATCATAGTGATAATCATCCCTAACAGGTCTTGTCGAAACACAGAACGGGGGATATTGTTCCGATGAAACTCTAGACCAGAAGCAAGAGCAGAGGGTACCAACGGTGATGAAACATCGGAAATGACCGCAATGGTTCGTGAGTTGCATTAAATTCGCACTAGAACAATTAATACCTCAACGTAACAAACAGCTAGGGATAGCATTACGCTACACCTGTCCCAACCACCACATTCAGTCGTAAAACTGAGCGTGACCCAAGCAAACTAACCACATGACCAAGGCCAAACATCAATTGTGAGAGTGGATTCAGTACGCAGTAAACGCGGAAGTTATCTCTGACTTAGCGATGAGTGTACAAGGTGTGAGGTACGCAGTTTACGTAGGTCAGAAGGATAGGTCTTCATGGAACAATCATCGGCAATCATGACAACTGCAGACAAACAAGTCGGCGCTGGGAGCTAAGTGTCATCGATTTAAATTGAAAGAGGAAGAAGTTGAGCTCGGATTCGCACTCCGCACGTAGCGGCCGAGGTACAGAGATAACATGATATCAGTACAGTATCGAACACCTATGTCCAAGTTGAATAACGCTGTGGGACGGACTTATATAAACAGTACGTAAAAGCCACTAACTTGCATATTTGGTCGCCAGGGATTTTTACGGTCAAAAATACCAGTTAAATTGCTGTGCTGATCTAACAGGTTTATAAATCTATTATAGTCACTAAATACTGCATCACAGCCCATGGTAGGCAGTTCGGATACCTTGAGTGTCTAGCGTTCTTGTGTGCTGTCCGACAGTAGTGCGCCAATGGAATCTTACACAGCGTCAGTATTCGATGCGTTCAAAAAGCATCTGTTTGCGACATGTAACCGGCGACTAGGGCCCTGAGATAGAACAAAACCTGGAGCAATCTATGTCGTGTAAACACATGCCGGTGACCTGAGTTAATCCATGGTTTGAGATTGAAGTAATGGTCTACTATTGTTCATGATGAGTGAACCTCAAGTGGACATTCACACTTGTTGTAGACAATGAGAAGCAGAGAAGGACCCAACTACACAGCATGACCCAATTAAATGGATGAAGCGTTATTCAAGCGTGTTCGGCCCAAGTTAGGAAGAGTCAAGCGAACCAAGAGACGCTACAGTAGCCAAATTCGTCAAATATCACTGTAAGGGAATCAAATCAAGCAAACCACATATAGCAGGTAGATTGACGGCAAAAGACAAGTATGTTTAACAGCTGGGATCAAATGTCGCAGGTGAAATAGGACATTTGAGAACAAAAGTAGGGAGAGATCCACAGCAAGGAGTGATGAGCACACCTGGAGTCTCTCAACGTAAAGACGGATGTAGAATACAATGCATCTAAAGCAAAGAGCGTAAGTTTGCAGGTATTTCTGGTGCATGAGACAAAAAAGCCCAAACAGCTCAAAAGAAGAGGAGAATGAAGTGGCATGTTATACTACCTAGACTGTAAAAGGACACAACGCCAATTAGTATGTTTAAAACAAACAGGTGTAGATGTTCGGGTTCGTAGAGCGGCTGTAAAAGCTGGACCATGTAAAACGCAAGTGTAAATAAGAGTGAAGATATGTAGTCGAAGATGAGGTTGACGCTGGACAACACACATGTCACAAATAAAGACGAACTGTTGAAATACTACCTAGGTTGGACACACAATTTGATTCACTGAAACGAAAGCTATGTGGTTGATTGTGAAGAGCAAACGTATATGTGGGTAGTAAGCTACTGAGACAAATGAACAGAACGATGCGGCCCACATGAGGAGACGTGCATATAATGATTGAGGTAGACCAACATAAGCCGAATTAATTAGACCACCTTTCGGAAAACTAATGAATCAATCTATGAGAAGAGAGGGCGAGTGGGTAACTCTGTCTCCCTCCGGGTCGAGTCAATATGCTTTGTCAGCGAATCCCAGGATACCGAAACGACCGTACGACGGTTTTCAGGATGTCTAATGTCCATACGGTTGGCTTGGGAAGCGGCGAATAACATATACACACACCGTTTGAAGCCCGCTGCTATTATGCAGAACACGTTTGGACCGTTAGGTATGGTTAATTCAAAAAAGTATTAACTGAACTTCACAGATCATAAATGCTGTCCAGTATCGAAACGAAAGAGAGTAAAAGCAGGGTATCTGGACGAATAAATACACGTCAAAATACAACGCAAATTCCCGTAAAGGCAGCAAAAGAAACGGCACAGAAACAAGATAAAAATTATAACAAATGCATCACACAAGATCAAGGGCACGAGAGCAGCAAGGATTGTTCACGAGATACACTTGATGTGATATGATTTCAGCAGACGTGATGAAACAGAACGGGTAAAAATACTTTGGATCGGTGGGGTCAAAATATTGTACACTTGGAAAATAAAAAATAATAAGGGATATCTTCATCTTGCAGAAGTGTCATGACAGATTGCTGTGTTGATACCAAGTGGTGGTGGTAGCTGTCTCCGAACAAGATCCAACAGGAAGGTTGTTTCTGATCACAGTAATTTTACAGTATTCCTCTAGTCAGTCAAATAGTCAGGGCGACATCCAAAAACTGGAAAAGCCAAAAGAATACGAAGCATCACTTAACAAAAAAACTCCTTCGTGTGACTGACAAGAGGAAAGAATTTTTTGACATTTTACCGCAAAGCACTTGCAGATGAAATTTACCAATTAGAACCAAACTAGGAACTGTCGGGAAAGTGGACACATAAGTTAGCACCAAGAATCGATGGTTCAATCCGGCCCGAAATGTGGAGCTCAACCTAGGATACCCAAGTCATAGTAATTGAAGGTCATCATTTAGATAATTATGTGGGAGTATACTAAATATCTATGAAGATAACAAAGTGGGCGTAGGTGTTTAACAGATGACTCTTCACTCACAGTTAGTGATATTAACGAGACTTTAAAACATACCAGCATCTTGAAAGATAACAGTTCATATCTGTCGCTGTCAAAATGCCATCGCTTAGTAAGCCGCCTCCTGGAGGCAACGATTAGATGAGATTGCTTTGCTGTATAGTTATGGGGGCAAATATCAGTTGTCAGAAAGAGGTGTAAGGTTTCAAAAAGATGGCAAGAAAAGAGAGTTGCTAAGTGTACGTCGTCATACCAGTACTACTTCACTAACAAAACGTGTCTCATAAGCACCAGTATACTGAGAGCTAAGAGAGCTAGTACCACTGGCTGCAGAAGAATATGGTCCAAACGTCAAGCTAGCAAAAGGTTGACGAATAAGTGCTATAGCACACGCACAGAAGGCACAATACGAGTTGTTGTGAAGGATGCGGAAGGGTCACCAGAGCTGCGGATTGTCGTGATCATGTCAGTCACAGAATTCAGGCCTGAAATACTAACAACACAAATTTCGTCGCCACCAGGTCGAAACAAAACTGCACACACACATCATCATCAATACGTGCCAGCTGAGGGTGAGAAACACACCTCACCCAATACAAAAATATAACAGATTAAACATTACAGACTATAAAAACTAAAAAAGCAACATAGCGCTAAATATCATATTGGGTATGAGATGGTGGTTGGAAGTGGAAGCTAAGCGGGAAGGGGAGAGACAAAGACACTCAAACACAAATGCTATGTCAACTAGTGTATCCAACCAAACGTATTCATTGTACTTAGGGCTCCAGCCAGGCAGTCGGGAGGCATCAACTGACGCCAACTTCGAACTAATGATCTGCATTCCTCTTGACCAAACCACCGCTTGGCGTCCTCTTTTCTTTTCCCATCCACACACCCGGCGCACAAACAATGCACGTCACGGGAGTCGGTGGGCTGGCATGCGCAACAAGTGGCCTAGCCATCGGAGCCTGGTTCGTGATATAACGTTGCTGAGCGTTTCACTCGCTTTTCCTGCACCAAATACGCGACGCCGAACACGTTCACTGTTCACACGGTGTTCACACTAGACATGAGTTAAGCTGAGAAGCCACCGATGGTCGAACGTAGCTAGCCTCTTAATGTGTGTCGACTTGATGGGCCCGGTTTTACGACCGTACAGGAGGGCTGAACGGACCGCTGCACTGCACGCACACACAAGGCACAAATGCACATCTAGCATTTTAATGAAAGCTTTATAACTATTCCATCAAGTTCAGCTTGAGTTATGATATGGTGCAATTATTTGCGTAACCCAGGACCTGGCTCCCGATTGAAAGCCAACTGAGTGCAGTTCGGTTTCAAAGCTCACATATATTTAACAGATATCGTAAAGAGATGAAACACGGTTGCGATATCTGCAAATGGTCTAACCGAATGCAGCTGTGTATCGGTTAAAGGTAAGTTTTATCACGCACTCGACTAGCCTTTAAGCAGAGTTGAAAAACCAGATCTCACTGTTCTTACCGCAGACCTAAATACACAGGTACCTGCTGACATGAGAATGACATCCCGGTGGACATCAGGTCCATGATGAGTGTCGCCCTGAAAATGAATGACAACCGCCTCTCACTCGCGCGAGCACGAACTCTAGACATATGAAGAGATGTTGCGCCACTTGGCATCCCCCTTTGGCCAACGCAAGCGTGGTCACAAATTGATCACATTACGATCGGCTTCAGATGGCGGGGAAGTGTATGCGATTGGTCCAGCTATCTCGACTGAGAACGCGCTCTTGTCTGTGTGAACATCTGCATGCGCTTTGTGAGTTCCTCGAAACCAAAGTGCCATTTACTCGATATCAATAGATTAGCTAACCTTCCATCCAAAAACTTACCAATCTTCCTTATCAGATGTATTCGCTAGTGCTCCACTTCTAAAAGCCGAACAACATTGGAGTCCCTTGCAGAAAGTGATGCGGGACCCATGATCGCTTTCTGAGACACTGCATCACCTCAGGCTCACTGGAATTGTTTGAATGCTGCTGTGTGTAGACCACATGTTTGTGCTCCGCCAGCACTCCCAGCAGCGTCACCCACAGTGCCGGTTTGTCGCTGTCGCTTTCTTGTACATCAGAGCTGTGCTCGACTCGGTAGGTCGACCTCCATTGAAATGCTATCTGCAAAAAAACGATGCCCGAAAAGTATACCGCCATGTGATGAGCAGTATACCTCGATGTCTCGGGTAGAGTGCGGACTTACGGCAAACTCCCTAGACCTTTCGTTGTCACTAGCGGTGTACGACAGGAATGTCCCACGTTCAGCCGCCCGTAGCCCAAAGTTAACGAACTTGTAATCTGACGGCGCGGGTTTGAGTCTGCTTAGAGGCAGGGCGACCCTCGTAGTACCCATAGCCCACATGCGACCGGTGGTGGTTGCACAGTAACGAAGCGTCGGCACTGCGTATCGGCGTACTTCTGAAGCTTTTATTTCGCGTTCACGTTTCTCTTCAATTTTGTCTTACTTAGAGTTCCGGCAGATGTTTTTCCAGGCAACCGCGTGATTGACTTACTTACCCATTAATTTAGTTATTTACAATGCCTATGTTTGCGTGTTATTGTTACACAGAAGTAAGTCCCGGCTGATTCGTGTGAAGGACCTGTGTCGGACTTCGGCCTTTGACAACAGTTGCCTGCGGAGGATAACTCATGCGTGGTGGGAACACCACCATGGGCAGGTAATACCTGCCCATCTCTTGACAGACTAGTACCGCTGCGCCAACTGAAATTGTTGTGTCACATCCTACACAAGCCGTGCGAGCATTTACACGCTCGCGAAGGGCCACATCAGAAAAATCGCGCGATGACTAGCCTATCACATGACGAGTAAATGTCCAAGCGCTGACTTCCAGTTTAGCCGTTATTCTCCTTGTGATTCGTACAGTTCTCACAAGGATTTATTAAACGGCTCTTGATCGCTCACACTGTCGACTTTTGCAGGTTATATATATATATATATATATATATATATATATATATATATATATGGGGAGAGACTGTGTGGCACTCTTCAATTGCCTCCAGAGCAGTTCACGATGGAGGGCTCAAAAGGAAGGGAAAAACTCAAGCTCAGCAATCTCTTCATGGATTTGGCGGCCCTGCTAAATCAAAAGTCAATAATAAGGAATGGCGAGGCAACAACAACAACAACAACAACGCGTTTAGAATTGGTGGAGAGCTAGCGTTCCCAAAGTAACAGCATGTGCAACTCGGAGACGGCGATTCAAATAATTCACTGCGGTGCGTTTTTTCTGTTCCTAATTGAATCGCCCAGTTTCCGGGAGTTACAATCTTACCAGCACTATACTACATGTGAACTTTCAGTCAAAGATCAAAAGTTAGCACTTTTGATTTTTCTTTAATGTGTCCATCGGTTTCATTATCATGTCTATGGTATAGAGGCTGGATGAGGAAAAAAAGTATTATGGGCCAGGATGCTTCCATTTTGCCTGCTTTGCGAAATACCTGCTAGTGGTGCCAGCTGGGTGGTTCGGGAGCTACTCGTTCCAGCAAAAGGTTCGGCGGCAGTGTTCCAGGACGTGGTGGGTTTTCGCCTGACAAGCGTGCTCTCTACATATGTCCGTTTAACAACATTGCGACGTGGCGGATGTGACTCATCACTAAACCAAGTCACTACCCCTTGATTCGCCTTGCTGGAGCATTGCAATCTTTCAGCTGGACGCTGAATTCTGGGAGCATTGGGTTCGTGTTTGGCAGCCCGCCAAACGAAAGGCGCATGAATCGAGAAATCGGTCACCGACTCCCAATGGGCGTGATTCCCTGAATTCACCCCGCTGCACTGCGGATCAGTACCTTATGACCGAAGGCTCCGAGTTGGGGTCCCCTAAGCCAACCCCTTCCTCGATCTGGGCTGTATGCCCACACAACACATTACATGACGGGTTTAGGTATCTCCGTTCATGATTCTCAATCTCTGGACTGACACTCTTTGGCCGAGGTGTTGGTGACCGAGCATGCACCGCAAACGACCTTCTTGGTTCCACATTTGGTCAACCCTCCTATTTTTGACAACCCCCTCCCATTTCGAGTCACAAAAATGCATTGCAAAGAAAAACGATACCTTTGGCCTCATAAACTAACCGCGCAAAACGAATCGTACACAATCCAATTCCAACAGTAAGAATTTTATTGCAACCCACTTGCTCTTTAAGCCAGCTATATACAATGTTCGAACGCTTATGCAAGTTCGATCACAAGCTGCTCATGCGCGCACCTTAGAAACTCTCTCCATCGACGTTTGCTGCCGAAGCGAAACCCGTTTACAGAACTGGAGCACAACGCTGCGATTACTCTCACCATCCCCAAGTTTCAATCGCACATTCAGCTTGCGCTTATCTGGAGATGCGACAGCGGCATCCTCCGGTTGCGCCGGTGTAGGAGTTGCGTTAAGCGTGCGTGCTGAGGCAGCGCTCGTTGACTGGTTCCCGGTCAACAGCCGTCTTTGTGCAGTCCGCGTGGAAAGCTCAGTGCGATCTTCCAGCCAACGGACCAGTAGGCGCTGCTTATTCATTGTGGCGGAATACGCTCCTACGGACTGCAGCCCAGACGAAGCTAAAGACGAGTCTTACCGCTAATTCACTGACCTATACTGCAAGAAACACCGTGGTACTCGCCGTTGACCTAAATGCGCAGGTCGGTAGACTAGAGGTTAATCAGCGCGAACTTAGGGGTCAACACAGCCACTGTACTCGCAGGACGGACAACAGCGATCGACTCCTTCAATTCTGCGCCGACCACGGCTTGTTCCTTACGAGCACCAATTTCCGACGTTTCTGTCGCCAACGGCGACCTCCGACGCCTAGTCAAGCTAGGACGCAGATTGACCACATCGCTGTTAGTTACCGTTTGCGAGGCTGCATAAAGGACTGCAAGTCAATTTGGAACATCTACCTGACTTCTGATCAGGCGCTCGTGTGTGCTAAGGTGGTTCGGCGCTTTGGAAACACCAAACAGCGTCGCCGGAAACGGCTTGACACAGACAAGCTTGCCGCCCAAAATATTCTTGGTGCATTGCAGAACACATTAGACTCCAACCTGCGTTCTATATCTTCCGGTGTTGAGACACACTGGGCACAGATTTAGAGCGCCTCACGAAAGTCCGTTACCTTGGTCTGTGGCTCCACTAGACAAGCTGCGAGTCACTGGATCTTCACAAAGTCTCTCCAATTTATTGAAAGCCGTCGAACAATTCTCGCCGGGGCTTAGTACAACGTAGTAAGCAGAACCACGGGCGCTCAGCTCAGACAGCTTCTCAGGAAGGATCGCGAAGTCTGGTGGATACAACGCGTTGTTGGTATGGAGCAGGTAGCCTCATTAGGAAACTGCCGCAAGCTCTTCCACGGGAGGCAGAAGGCCAACAGTGAGTGAGGCTTTATGTGGAAATGACGACAAATTAATCCACAGTCGTCAACGTCGTCTGGTACGATGGGCAGAGCACTCTGAAGATAGGTTCAACTGGTCACCAGCACAACCGAGTCCATCTTCCGGGGTGCACAGTGCTCCCTGGTGCGTAGATGTTTCTCCACCGACTTAGGATGAGGTTTCTTATGAGCTTCGCCTACTAATACGCCACAAGTCATCTGGTCCAGATGAACTTCTTCCTGTCCTCTTCAACTATGGGGGGTCCTGCTCTCACCCGTGAACTGATATCGCGCTTTTATCAGATTTGGACCACTGAAACCATCCTATCCGAAATGGAACTTAGCGGATGCTGTACCTGTCTGCAAAACAGACCGGACCGTTTGCTCCAACCATCGTGGCAGAAGTCTCATATGTGTTGCACCCAAAGTGCTCGCCGCCCTACTCGTGCGGAGGCTCAGTTGCGTACGGGAACAGCATCTGGATGAACAGCAAGCCGGATTTCGTCCGAGTCGCAGTTGCGTCGATCACATCTTTACCATCCGCCAGATACTTGAGCATCGCCACACGATCAGTCGACCGACCATAATCATATTCTTGGACATTCGAGCCGCGCTTGACTCGGTTAACAGAGTGGCTCTTTGCAACTGCTTACTGAAGAGGGGAGTACCTGAGAAGTACAGCAGCATCCTCCGTGTCATTTACCATCAAACTTCTGGCCGCCAGCGGGTATAAGGATACTTTTCGCCCCCTTTCAGTACCACTAGCGATGTTAGAAAGGGCTGCCCAACCTTCAGCACTTGGAGTGCGCTGATGACATCGATGTGATTTGTGAGTTCTCCCAGCATATGCTGCTTAGACTAGAGACGTCCGCCTTCCAAGTTGGGTTGACCCTTGCTTCTTCCAAATGTAAGGTCCTGTTACAAGACTGACTAAGTGCATTTCCTTCTCCCCCCCATTCGGGGCACCCGCTGGAATTGGTCGACAAATCCATTTACCTTGCGAGTTGTCTTAGTATTAGTAGTTTGACGGATGAGATCACCCAGCCTGTCTCCAAGGCTAGAGTAGCTATCGCTAACGTTCGTCACTAATGGCTTCGATGTAACCCCAGCCTCGCTCTCAAGGGACGAGTCTACAATGCTGCGGTACGAGCGATTCTGCTGTACGGTTGTGAGACTTGGTCCGTTCGCAAAAGCGATATGCAGCAGCTATCAGTCTTTGATCACCACTGCCTGCGAAGCATTACTGATGTTCGATGGCAGCATCACATCAGCTAAAACGGATAATTCAGGGGCCGGCCGCAATTGTTTGAACTACACATTGGTGCTAGTTGGCGCCTGTCACTTACGTGATATAAATTAATTCGAAGTGAGAGTCCACTGGTAAGGCCATTGCTATTTTACTCATATAACTATATAGTCCTGAAGATGAATCATCGAAAACAACTGCTTTCCATCTACTGACCTAATTTTCTTAGAGTGCGAATGTTGAACATCGCCAGGGAAACGGGACAGCGTGGTCTTATAAGGAGCTGCTGCCGATAGGCGTCCAGCCCCCGGTGCGGGAAGTTAACTGAAAATGTTATGACTCCAATGGCATTGCGGCTGCTGTCAATCAAATTGAGGATTATGCAAAGTTAGTAATGGGGGTCAGATGGAGAGTAAGAGAAACAGATGGAAAAGAAAGGAGGCGCCAGCGGTGGCATGCTTTTGCTTATCCGCCTTGCTATATGCAGCAGATAAGGTGACCCTTGATAAGCTGCGCAACGGCCGATGAGGGGCTTGAAGTTTGAGGAAATTGCTGTACAGGTACCAAAGTAGACGGATGAAACCCAAAATTGCGTCCAGTTCACCTACGTATCCGGACGAAAACTGCAGCAAAATATCCTGGATGAATTCATGTGCAAAGAACTACAATCAGCTTTAAGGACAACGTAGCCGAAGGCATGTTATCCGGAAGATGAGTGCGGACATGGAACTATACCTTGGTCCAATGGCGACAAGAATGCAGGTTAATGAATGAATATGTCGACCGAAGGGAGAAATAGCTCGTCCGCGTTATAAACCCATAAGATGGAGATCCTGCGAAGCTGCTGTAAAAATACTGGGTCAGCTTAAACATGCCAACCAATGAACCGATGCCAGCGCAGTATTTCACAGCCAGCCTTCTTGGTATCCATGTGCGGTCGGTACATAGGTCTTGACTGAGAAAAACGAGGTACTATTCTCTATCGCACAGTCGGGCGCTGTCCCGATGAAGCAAACTCCGTGAAGAAACAAAATAAGCCCAAAAAGAATGAAAAAGCTTCGAAAATTGAAATGAGGACGCCTGGTGAACAAGTAGGAACGACGTACATCCGAACGGTACCCAATAGGTAACCGAAAAATTAAAGGCCGGTTCAGTGATGCAAACGATACCGAGTAACTGAAAACATGCAATAAATCTAAAGACTTCATCAAATTACCTGCTCCAAGGAAAGAACTGCGCGACCACCGTGATCGTAGTTCTTGAAGATCGCTGCGGATTGGAAGAGAAGATTGGGGGGAAAAGAACGAAGGATGTCACATGGGTGAGAGGGGGGAATTCATGGTTTAAAAGAGTGATGTGGCGATAGGTATCGAAATAGAATACCGCAAAAGTGGATCGTTCTATGAGTCACCAGCTTACCTATGGTTTTTGTTATGAGTGCCATGGCTATGATGAATTTACCGTATTCCAAACGCCAGTCAACGTCGACAAATCTATGTACAAGGCGGGACAGCAACGAGTGCGGAAGCGTATAACCTGAAGGAAAAATGAAACAAGAAAAGGTATATCGGAGTATAAAGTAAGAAGAATCTTATGATGAGGCGTACAAAACTATCCCATCTGGAGAAGTAACAGGCAGGTGAACTACAGCACGTAGGGATTGAAGGCGTATGACAGCCAACCAAACTCTCAAAACACGCATTCCAAGTAGGGACTGAAGCGGATGGCTGTTGATGGGTTATCAAAGCACACTGAGCTGGAACAAACACAGTCAGCAGTAATGGTTGTTGTGATCTGACTGACCGATTACATTGATGCAAATTTACTCTCAAAGGCTAGGACACCGGAAAAAGGTTATCTATACAAAACTACGCATTGTCACTTTGGAAAATAAGTCAGTTAAATGTCACAAATATTTTGATTTCAAAGCGAAGTTATAGAAATCCAACAACCAATAATGAGCGGTTGAACAAAATGACGGTAACTGGCGGCATGGGAGTGACTTAGCTAAAATCCGAACCCACGGAGCCGGTGTAATGAAGCAGCGGGATTCGATGCTGGATGTGATGGACGCTTGACCAATCACGTGTTCTGATTCCCATTTGAGAGAATCCTCAACTATCTTGATTCTATGCAGGATCACACGTAAAGGATCGTCACGTCAAGGATAAAGGCGAATACAAAGCAGGAGTGGCCAAAGAATTGTTTTAGGAAGCAAACAGTCAGGAAAATAAGTGGAACATACCAGTCGGAGAGAGCCATGAGTTTTGTGGTTCTGAGGAGCTTTGCTGTAGCCAAATTCAGTCAGACACGGATTAAAGAAGGGCTGGATAGCCGATACATCCTACTAGTGACAGCTTGCGAAGGTAGTGGCTCTGGGGGCCAATCCTGCACTCTACACGTTAATGACATGTATAACAGTGAAGGGTGAGCCGCATGATGCCGCAGCTGGTAGTGACCCAGCTGCTGTTAATTCGCAAAAGAATAGAACGGGCCCGGAACCAGGGGGTACGATAAGTGAGTGTACCAGACGAATTCCAGAATATTAAGAATAAACGATAAACGTGTATGTTTATCGAAAGAATACTGCTCTCGCTTTTTCTGTTAGTTTCTTCAGCGTGAACGAAGCTACAAGCACGAGCATTGGCAGTGCACCTGGAGGGTTCGTAAGTGACACACAGGAGCAGTTCCGGAGTAGCGAATTTACCACAGAGAATGTGAGATGGGACGATCTAATATTGACAAGCGGGTGCACACATAGAGGGGTGCGGTTAAAAGCAGCCGGTGCGTGAAAAGAGTGGAGAGTGTTTGCGAGGGAAGATATGTGAAGGACACTAAAAATAGCCGAAGGAATCTGATTTTTTTTACTGGCCTATGCTGAACAGCTGTGCAGTGAAATCAAGCTCGTGAAAACTAGCCAGCGTGTAACCACACTTGCCTGCCTGTTCAACAATAATGCGAAAATCCAAACTTGTCACATGACCTGTTCGTTGCGGATCAAAAGTAGCAAAAAGACGGGACCAAGAGAGCAGAATTTCCCAAATTCGCCTGAAATCTGATTCCGATAAACGACCGGTTCCATCGCGATCCAGCAGAGCAACTAGGGCCCGACAAGTATCGATATTTACCTGAAAAGTGAAGACTTGTGATAAGCGGGAGAAATAATGAACGATCAGGTCAGTTATTTAAACATTAGGATGGAAGAAGGGCAAATGAAAGTAGCAGAATGAAACTAAAAGGAGTCTAAAGGTGATATCTTCAACAAAATGAGCAGCGAATGGTTGTTGTATAGATTGTGTATACAGAATGTACAAATTTTTTAAATCACCCGAGAAGCAGGTATATGTATCCTAACGTATCGAGCGATAAAAGTTCGTGGGCTCCTTTATTATACCTCACCCAAATGAAATTAGTCAGTTTCCCATTGGCTACTCATCATGTCATTGACAGTTCCACTCCATCTAAGTGACTAACCACTGAGCAGTCACATTCTGCCGTTGTCTCATTGTCGTAAACAAGTTCGTGCTATGGGTGTGGTACAGGAATGGCTACCACCGAGTCTCTCAAGGAGGCTCTATGACGAAACTAGCTCCATGACAGTCGGATATTTGCTTTTCCTAACTCAGCGGCCTTAGATTTATTATTATTATTATTATTATTAATATTATTATTATTATTCGCAGCAGTGTGAAACAGACTCAGCAAGACATGATCAGTGTATGTGCGCACATTGCAGCCAAGAGCCCGTCCGAGGGCCGGATAAGTTTATAAACAATTATGGAATGGAATCCCGCAGCAAACACCCAATGGAAGGAACAAGTATGCAAATGACAAGAACAGAAGACTTCTCTGAGTCCCATTAGGGTTAAGGGGGTGCATTCAAACAGCTTTCTAACATAGCAGTCGGAATAGTTAAGATTGACTCCATGCTCTCGAGCTCCATTGTAATGAGAATTCTGCCAGGTAAGAGGTAAAAGTTCAGAATATGCGGAAGATATAATTCTCATGGGGATAGACACAACTTATACACAAGCGCGATGATGGAGTGCGCCTACCACAAAGCACTGTCTCAAATCTGAGCTCACACGTCACAAACTCGCAATATATATATATATATATATATATATATATATATATATATATATATTCACAGTCTGTTAACAAACATTGTGCCATCAGAGCCCTGGCGGAAAAAATGGAGAAAATAGAAACACGAAATGCGATTTTAAAAATGGGAAACGATTTTTTTGGTTTCACACAAGCCATTTTGAGTTTGTTTTTGCTTCGTGAGCTTTTGTGTGCATTAGAGGGGGAATATGATGGCAGAACAACATTGACGCCATTGATGTCTGTTGCTGGCAATGACATTAAATATTTCCAACCACTGAGATGCATCTCGTGGTCCCCAACCTGGAGGACGGACTGGTTCGACTGTCGACAAACTTGAGGTTGCCTTCTTCATGCTCCTTCTCCACGTCATTGGCTGTCCACCGCGGCGCTTTTTTCCAATCGCTCCCTGGGAGTGCAAATAGAGCTCAGCGTGGAAGGCGATGAGCTGCCATACGCAAAACGTGTCCGAGCCAACGCATGTGATGCCGGAGAATAACGTTCTGAAGGCTGGCACTACTCGCTCCAAGCACTCGGTCTTGAACTTCTACGTTGAACTGCTGTTGCCACCACACCCGAGTAATCCTTCGTAGACAGCGATTGTCGAAGACTGACAACCGCTTCATGTCTTCCGATCGAATAGGCTGTCTCACAGCCGTACAAGAGTACAGCACCAACGGAAGTATTGTACACTCTGCCCTTGAGCTTGATACTTACATCACGACGACGCCATAGGTGTCTCAGTTTGATGAATGCAAGGCGGGCCTTTGCAATCCGTTGCAACTACCTAGATAAGTAAAGCAAAAGACTTGCTCCAGCAATGGTGAGCGCCGGTTCAGGTACTTGCCAATCCTGGAGCAGCGTTTTACATTTTCCCGGAGCGAAGCATAAGACGTACTTAGACGTCTCCATCGCTAAGCGGTCCAAAGCGCTCTGGACGGTTTGTGGGTCGTCCCCCAGCAAGGCGATATTATCGGCGTAATCAAAGCCCATGACTCTGTCTCCAGGGAGGATCTCAAGATCGAAGTTCTGAACACCTTCCAGTGCTTCTTGAACGACATCTCCGATGATCAAATTGAAGAGGAAAGGTGAAATAGGGCAACCTTGGCGAGCACCGCTGATCACAACAAACGAAGAAGAGAGCCTGCCGTAAGCCATGACTTTGCTCGACGTGTGACTGTAAAGTTCTTTCAGGATGCTTACATACTTGTCGGGCACACCTTCCTTCAGTAAACAGTTCCACAACGCAGATCTACCCACTGACTCAAATGCCGCGCGGATGTCCAAGAACACTACGATTGTTGGTCAGCGGTGGATGTGACGGAGTGCGAGAAGTTGGCGGAACGTGAGATTTGGTCGATGCAGCCGCGGCCTGGACGAAATCCGGCTTGTTCTTCTCGGGAAAACTCCTCTCTAGTCATTGAAAACCTGCAAAGTGGGAACGACACGAAGATTTTAGATGCGACAGAGATCAAAGAGATTCCGCGGTAGTTACAGCAATCGTCGCAGGAGCCTTTCTTGTGAATCAGAACAATGACCGATTCTCCCCATGAGTTCGGAACCTTCTCCTCAGTTCAAACATCCGTGAACAGCGAAAGGATTATGCTGACAAGTACATTCACGCCATCTTTGAATAGAGCCGGTGGTAGACTGTCGGGACCAGGAGCCTTGTGGCCTTTCAAATATTAGATTGCATCTCGGATCTTTGCTTCAGTTGGGGTGCCTGTGGAGACAGGCCAAGCATCATCCGTTGGGGCCTGGAGGTGACCCAGGGGGGCTGTGTTGGGTGGTCGAATTGAAGAGCGAAATGCTCTGCCCAGCGACCCAATCGCCTGTGAAGGTGGGTGATCTACGTGCCGTCTGATTCGAAAATCGTCCGGCTGATAGAGTAAGAAATTGCAACCGGTGGCCCTGTTGATGCAAAAGAGACGGCGGAAGTTGGCAGCTGATGTAGCGGCTTCCATCCCATCAGCTCGTTTCGACCACCAGGATTCCCGATAGTAGCAAAGGCTTGCTCTCAGCTGTTGCGTAATAGACCGGCGGTGTTCGTTGTGCACTGCGTCAGCAAGCACCACCCGCCGGCGATCCAGCAATTCCAAAGATCTTCCCGAGAGCCAACTTTTGGGAATGGAGCGAGCGAGGCCGCAGATGGAAAACCGGCCGATAGCATGGTTTGCTGCAGACTTGATCAGTGTTGATCAACACCCAGAATGGGAGAGAGAGCGAGATTATCACGAAGCCTTTGTTGATACTCCTTCTTCACCATTGGGTCCTCCAACTTGTAGGTGTTCAGTCGGGCGTGTTTTGACCTAGGTGAAACACCGAAACGCATGCAAACGCTCGCACATACCAATGCATGATCAGTATCGACGCATGTCGACCAAAATGATCGGCAGTCACGTACGCTGCCTCGCCACCCTCGACTTATGGCTATGTGGTCAATCTGTGATCAGCGCTGGGTTGACGATGGGGGGGCGCCAAGTGGTGTAGTGGTATCCAGAATGATGAAAGCTCGTGCTGCTGATGATCGGCACACAGACTGAGTAGTCTCTCTCGGTTGTCTGAACGAAGATCATCGTATCTATGCGATCCCCCGAGGTGGCGCTCACATGGAAGCAGTCGACCGACACTCGCGTTAAAGCCTCCTGCCAAAAACATGATGTGTGTTTTAGGAGCGCTTAGGAGCAGCTCATGAAGGTTCTGGTATAATTGGTCCTTGACTGTGTCCGAACTATAGTCAGTCGGCGCGTAGGCAGAGCTCACGAAGAGAGCATGCTTTTCGACTCGACGTCTGCTAACATTACAAAAGCCATGAAGCCCCATCGTACAAAGGTGGCCATTGATCGGAATCCAATCAATCAGAGTAGCCTCGGCTCTAGCACTGAGGGCGATTCCAAAACCAGCTTGCACAGATGCGGCAGACTCCGCGTCCCCAGAAAGGCGGAGATGGAAGCGGATGTGTAGGTGGAGCGGTGACGCCAACTGGTAGACCGAGTTGGAGTCCTGGAGTCGCGTTTCACTCAAGCAGCAGACATCAATTCCAAGGGTCTCTAGCGTGCGTGCAAGTCCAGCTTGCTGACCCATCTGCAGTAATGTGCGTACGTTGAAGGCTGCAACTTTGAACTGCGTTCCGGGTTGCAGGAGCGAAGATGGGAGACTTCGAGGCTGGCAGCTCCCTGTTTAGCACTGTGTGGTTGAGTTGGCAGATGTCACGGGAACAGGTTTATCGGTGGAGGTGGGGTTGATCGTCGGAGAAGAATCAGGTAGAGATTAGTGTGAATGATACAGAGGACGGGTAGGTAAAATGGTGGCGTGTGCTTGTGAAGTTGGCATAGTAGCATGAGTGAATAGCATCGTAGCAGCAAGAGTGCGTAAGATTGGTTGTAGTGGTAAGTCCATGGTTCGTCAGTAGGTGATATACGACCTAGTTGCTTAGGCCGAGGCAGGTAGGTTATCTTAAGGGACCACCGCCCCGAGCCTTTGACTCAAGGACCTCACCCACAAGGGAGAGATGAGAGATTCGCACCTGTTGGGAGTCGGTGACTGGACACTCAGCTCATACGTCTTTCGGATGACGATAAGCCATGCCACGGGCCCAACACTCACGAAATCAGAGACAAGATCCGATGCTCGGATTGCTTACCGGTGTATAATGTCTCCAAATGTGACAAGGAAAGGTAATTTTATTTAGTAGCGAGTCACATCCGCCACGTCGCAACGTTGTTAAACGGACATTTGTGGCCTTTTATAGGGGGAATGCTTGCCGGGCGAAAACCCACCACGTCCTGGAACACTGCCGCCGAAGCATTCGCCGGAACGGGAAATTCCCGAAACACCCAGCTGGCACCACGAGGTTGTTCGGCAAGCCAGCCAATTCTCAGTGCCAATAATTAATCATCCAAGCAGTACGTCTACTGGCGAATCTTGGCGTTGTATTGCATGCGACGGACCGTTTGTCGGCCTAGCAGCAAATCTGAAGCTTAAGTGCAGGTGGTGTGGCATTACTATGTCGGCGGTAGAAGCATCGCGGTCCGCAAAAAGGTATGGTACATGTGTAGAATCATAAGAACACAATGGCATAATTAGCAAGTGTAACTTGGCTGGTGCCAGAATTGCTCTTAGGGTCATCACATATGGTTCGCCGTTGGTCGAAGGTGCGTTGCTCATGTGCAACGGGATTACCGAATGAGTGCAAATGAAGTCCATCAATTAACGCTAATAACACACTAAAATGCCGCACCAGTAGTGGGAGAACCGAGTACCTCGAGTGCGCCATTTGACGACGCTGCGTCTAGTCGATTGAGGTCCTAGTGGTTTAGTGGTGACATAGCAAAGAAACCGGTCGGAAGACTAGTCCGTTTACCGAGTCACGCGTCCGTCGACGGAGGTGCGAGATTAGCCACAAAAGAGCTTAGGAACTAGAGCGGTTAGTGAAGCTACAGCTCTAGGCCAAATGGACAAGAACCGACCGAGCGCACCGTAAGATTCGATTTGCTCCACGTATCCGGGTGCCCGGGTCAAGTGGCGTTGCCAACCCGAAACTGAGAAACAGCTCGGGACCGAACGAATAGCTTGCAGAGCAACCGTCCGTACATACCAGTGAAAAGTGGTCTAGTTAGCGGTTCGAGCTACAAAGGCGTGCGAAAATTGTGCTGTCAATCCGAGTTATCCCAAGAAAAAGGAACGTTTTACGACTAGTGCACCATACAAAATACGTAACGTGTTCGTGCTTAATATATTTTCGACCGAAGGCTAGCTTGATTACTCGCGTTTTCGGATGGCTAGGCCACAGATGATAACCCTGTGTAACATGGCATTGCTCATGAAGTAACCATGGTCATGCTTCTGACTGCAAGTCATTCCAAAAAAAACAGTACAAGGAAATTTAACACCTTACGGTTGAGATTTTAAGCTCGTTTGTCCACCGTTTCGTTTATAGGCTTTCCAGTCAATTTCTTCACTAGGTTGGTTGGCCACCCCGCGGCATCATACAGCTAGGAGCAGCCGTGGCAAACAACACAAGCCAAATGAGATGGTTAACAGGCATTTGAAGAAGTGAGCTAACTAAAACAGGTGGCACAAATTCTGAGGAAGGTTCAGTGAAGTGGGTGGAGGTTGGGGACAAACTACGACGGAGATATATCACCACTGATCACTCGATGATCCCATTAGACAGGAGCAAGACTCTGTGAATAACGGCGGATTAAGATAACCAGTTACGTCATGTTATTAGCAATGCTGACAAAGGCCCTAGCTGCAACCCATAACACCGGTTATGACTGGTCTGTTGCCAACTTGTAGATAAAGCATAAAGGCAGGGGGCCATGGGCAAAACGGCCGAATGGTACTGAAATACAATGGACTTCTATGAAGTAAAGTTAATACCGTTGCTAGAACTGTGTTGGAAAGTTAAGCACCCTTTTAAGTCTCGAAAGGCCAAACGAGACAGCTCAAGTGGAATCTGTTACGAGAACGAGTCCTTTGAAAAAAGTATTATGCAGTTACCTATCAGGATAATGAACAACACCTGACCGAAAGTTTGGGCAATCTGCTGAAACAACAGCGAATCAGCAGCTCGTTTCCCACCTAGTTCTGGGCAACTCGTGGTGGAATTTTCGTTCATTTTAATGAAAAAATCCAGTTAAAGTGTTGCACTTTAGAACGGGAAGAATGCAGCTCATATCAGAGAGTAAAGAGGAGACATTGGGTCAAAAGACTCTATGAGAGTAACCTCTTGTAAAGAGACAGATCAAAGTAAGACACACGTAGCGATAAATTCAGGTCTGCTGCCTCCTAGTTACTGACTTAAAAGCCAATTCCATAAAACTAAGGGCATGTGCGTTCGGTCGCACATCGCATGCAAACAGGACGCCAAAAGTGCATAAATGTGTGATAAGCGCTGAAGGACATTCATTTCCACAAACAGAGATAATGGGATCAGGCGGAGGACAGTTGTCAGATAAGCCAGCTGTTTATCATGTTCTGAGACTTAGGAAAAAAGTGCGCGATCGAAGCTGCGGATAAGCTGACGTGATGTGCAAAAAAGGGGGTGAAAAAGAAAGACGGCGGGGTTCAATTTCTATGATAGATAAGAAACGTCAAAAAAGAGGAAAGAAACAAGGAATGGCAGCGCAGGGAGGACGCATCAAGGGATATTTACAACTCAGTGGGTGGATATGACAGGGAACAAAAAAGAACTACCATATGGCACTTCGCAGATGGTTATTTGGATAACAGTCTTCCAGTCCGTTCTATGATTTTCATACTCAAGAACAAGTGGGTAGAAAATGTATGGGCACAGGATACAACTCAACATCTCAAGCAATGAGTTCTCGTGGTATCAATAAAAGTTTATCTGCTGTTGTTCGGTGGATGGGAGAAAAAACAAGCAACACCATGGACAGAATGTATCAAAGGTTCTGAACTGTAAGGAAACTTCGTCGAATAACGGTTTGATGTCACCTGAAGTTGTGATTCCCTTGCGGATGTCCGAGTGTGACTGGTAATTGCTTACGTTGGAGAAAGTGCTCGCGAAAGCCACTCTAGCCATGTGATTGGGATTAGTGATGAAAAAGTATAAAAGCCATTACAAACGGTATAGAGATGGACATAGTAACCGAAACGACTTTGTTCTCCCAAGCTCTTACAACCAGTTCGTCTTGTCTAGTCTTCAGCAGGTCCGTCGAAAACCCAATAATATAAGGAGAGGCTAATGTGTCACGATTAGAGCGGAGTACACTGGAACAGACGCCATAACCTATCAGACAAGATTATTTCAGGTAAAGCGCAGAGCAACACCGGAAGGAAAACTGGGCTAACAGCAAAGTATTCCGTACACTCCAAGAATGGAGATGTGCAGAGTCGAAATCAGTCGCAGTTTGAAGAGGACGCATGAATTTGTGACTTCTACCACCGAGAAGATCTATGGCAAACTTCCACTTTAGTAAGGGAACAGAGTGCGTGAGCCCGATGGCTGTCATGCGCTGTTGTTAATGGGAGGTGGAGATGAAATAACGCTTGGACTAGTGGTATCCTTCAACACTGCATGGGGGACGGATAGTGAGTCTACACTTATATGCTAAGGAACTGTCATTTATTTTCTAGAGAGGATCACAAAACACTATGCGGAAGTCATTAAGACGGTGAGTTCCTCGCACCTGTTTCCTTAGGCCCACAATAATTAGGCTGAAGTGGCTTGTTGGCCTTTATGGAATATTCAATAAGGAAGGCTAATTAACATCAAGGTAGAGAGCGGACTGACCACATGCATAGACTATGTCAAGCGAGAGAACGGTGACATACATACGGAAGAAAACCATGTAAGTGTTCCTCTAGTTGAACAGAATGTTTGACACGGTAGAAAGTCCTGTTATCCACGCAGCTCATTTTCAATGGTGTGGTGAGAAGTTCAGGGCTACCTTGAAATCGCCATCATGGAAAGTTAGGAATCTACAGACAATTGTCTCCAGCGTTATGCGATCATTCAAGTACACATTATAGCCTTATTACCACTATCCCTTCAATATGTGCCAGTAGTCTTCTTCAAATCATTTTGGGATGGAAATCTTGGATTAAAATTTAGCACCGGGTGCTTCGGGTTTGGTTTAGCAGCTTCAAAGTACAAATCGCTGCTGCAAGAATGGTGAGATACAGCACCATTTCTAACTGCCAAGGAGCCATCACTTGAAGTCGTTGAAAGTTAATTCGTTTTGGCAGCTGTTTCGTACATGGTAGTCGAATAACAAGAAAGGTAATTTGTGCTGATCGGTGAGCCTCAAGTGACTATCGATAGTCTCAGTGATCGGTGAAAGAGTTGAGATATCAGCTCGTTGATCAAGGATAGTGTGTAGCTGGTTAAAGTAAGACCAATGCTAGGGCGTCGGTCTAATGTATAAACAGTGCACCTAGAAGACAGATAGAGGCTGGTAGCATTCGACTATTTGTGCTGAGGAGTCATGCGTCAGTAATTCATAAAACCGCCAGCTAATGTTAATTACTCAATCCTGTGGCAGAGCTGTGGATGATCTGCTGAACTCTCATCGCCTACATAGATTAGAGTGACCTCAGATATACCTCATGCTTGTCAGCACTGCACCTAGTTCGGAAAATTGCCACGGTGACCAGTTGGTGAAGTCATGAGGGAATGAAGAAAATAACAGGTTTACTCAAAAAGATACGTGTCATCTAGATGGATGGAAGTTTTGGAACGAACCAACATAGTGGTTAGAGGTGCGTTTTCAGTGGTAAATTCGCAAAGCCAATGTTGAGCCTGTAATATCTTTTCATCTGAGTATTGCGAGGATTGCTTAAATGCTTTATCGTCATGTGTTCACTGTGTTTTTCTTCATTCCACCATTTTCCTGTTTATAACCGGCGTAACAAGCGGAATGACAGCCACATCCCTCGCGCATTAGCAAGCGGATTATGATAAATTGAAATAATTAGAATGGACTAACAACATGTGGATAAAATCTCAGTCTGATAGTCGGAAAGCAGAGGCACGCGGTTGTGGGGATACGAAATGCTACGACAATTAACTGGCCTAGATCGTGGGGTGAGGATTTTTAACACAGCATAGCGGTAAATCGCTCAGTAAAACCTACCATAGTGTAAGGCGCTCTGCGATCTTCTCTCAGCAGGCAGTTCAGGATAGGCTCCAGTTGGAAAGCATCTACAGCCATTGATTCACCAGAAGCTTCGTAAAATAGTCTGCGTAATCGAGCCTGCAGAAGATCAAACTGGCTGTCTGGTTCCGGTCCAGTTGCAGCTAAGCCGCTCAATTCGACGCGTTCCAAGGCGGGTCTGAAGAATAAAAGTGGAGTAAACTCCTAGATAAGTGTCACCGAGCATATATACATAAAGTGTCAGCAGTACGCCGGTACCCAGTACCGACGCTTTCTTGCCGTGCAACCACCACGGGCTGCGCGTGGACTAAGGATACTGCGAGAGTCACGCTGTCGCTACGCTGGCTCAAACCCGCGCCGTCAGATTAGAAGGCAATCTTGTTACCTTTAAGCAAAGGGCCGGCTACCACCAAGTACAGGAAATTTTTAATGTGAACCCAATATGCCTTGTAGACGACGGATAGCTTGACTTCGTGCTGTTAAGCGGAAAAGAGAACTGCCTTGTATAGAGTGTGCAAAAATATAGCGGAGTCCCAATTTCGCCCCAAATGAGAGCGTAGTAACCAAGATTCTTTGTACGAAAATGAATCGCAGAGTGTATGATGTGAACTCAAGAAGAATTTGAAGATGAACCAGTTGATGGCATACACACACCAAATGCATACAGCAAAACGACGTACATTAGCAGTTCGCCGGTGAGTCACATCGATGCGTTAATGCCACGTGATTACCAACACTAGTCGCGCGTGGGCTATGGATAATGCGAGAGGACCCGAAACCAACGCAGATTCGAAGCTGTGGCCTTCAGGTTACAAGGCAGAGGCCCCATCCCCTCAGCTACTAGTCGTCACATTGTCTAGTAGGTGGATAGTAAAGACTAGTTATTACCTCGATAAACCAAAAGTTGCACGTTTCCACTTGATTGCAAGAAATGACGAATGTCAAAATGCGCAGCGAAATTATAGAGCAGTGCCATAAAGTCACCCGGTAGAAGATAATGAAGAGGACGAAAGGTAACTATAAAACATGCAGTGAAGTGTAATACGTGGAACCGTGTTACAGAAAGATATTGGCAAGAACTGGATACAATATTGCGAAAGGTCCTGGCAGTGAATCCAAAGAAAGCACGGGAAACAATACGACCCAGAAGACTAGCCGCAAGTCCTGTTACGGCTGCAAGGGAACCAGTCCTAAAGTTAAGGGTCGCAACATCAACTGTAAACTTGTTAGCGGGAGTATGTGCGGGAGAAAACGTCCACTGAATTAATCGATGGATTCTGCATGCCCACCCTATGCGTGTCACTGTGCTGCTGATCGTAGCCTCGAATAAGTAATAAGAAAACATGGCAGTTAAGTAAAAAGCAATCGCCTCAAGCATTCAAGTAAGATAAAATAGAATTTTTGCAAACGCCCCTGATAGAAAATAACTAGTATCGAAATCAAAAAGCAAAGACGGCCAGCCAAAGGAATTTTGCTCAGAAAGTAGCCTCGATATTCAACAAGCAGTGGAAATAGCTGAGAGGGTGAATAAATTTCACTTTAACTAAATGCATCGGAAACAACCAGAATACCGACGGAATAGAGGTCACTTCGTATGAATGTACAAGTGCAGCGTGGAATTGCACCACTCAGTACGATTGGTGGGTATACAGGCACAACAAAAAAGACGCACAACCCCCCATTGACCAGTACTGGCATACTTTCCGAGGGGTATTAGCCTCAAACTTTATACTTGCTTCTGTCCCCACACCATCAGTGTTATCCAGCATCAAATTCACAGCAAAAACGATTCTGAGAAAGCTATAATCCTTGCATACACACAGCATTCCTGGAGTGGATAGCCTTCACCCTAAAGCACTACAGGCAGCAGCCATTCACCTAGCCCAGCCACTTGCCGGATTCTTTCAGAGAAGTCCGTCTGATCCTACCAATTACTGTCTGCTAACACTTCTCTCTGCCCTTTCCAAAGTCATGGAAGCTATCATCGCTAACGTAATGATGGGCTAGTTGGAAAACATAGCGATACATTATTAGGATGGGTTGGTAATTTTCTCCGTGACCAGCAGTTCTAGGTTAGAGTCCGAACATCGCTGCCCGATCCTAATCTAGTGAAGTGCGACGATCTTGCGAGAGCCATCACCTCAAAAATTGTACTTTTCCGGATGAGGTTAACAGCTGGCCGGTGATCAAGAGAATAAACGACCACAAGATCCTCCTAGACGGGACCTGGAATTGACTGGTGAGGAATTCACTGCTATTAAATGTGGTCAAGTGACACATTGTCGACATAAGCCAAAGACACGCCTATCTAGAAAATTGGGGCATATGACCTGCAGACAAGCCCTCAGGAACTTGACCTCAGTGTGCTGGTGCAGGATGACTTCGCTTATTCCAGACAGTCGGAATCCGTTTCAAAAGTGGTAACCAGCACATTGTTAGCTTGCGGATGGTATTCGAAAGTTTTGATTCATTCATCTTCTCTATGATGCTCCAAGTCCAATACGTAATCCAGGCTTGACACACTTGGTTAAACCGTGACATTGTAGCGCTCGAAACGCACCATGATCGAGCAACAAAATATGTCGAGCGATCGTGCAACCTTTCGCAACAGCAGCGGCTAAAAACACTCGGATTGTTCAGTAGACGCTACAGTTGGTTACGTGGAGACCTCATATTAGTCTACCAGATACAGAACGACCCCACGTGCACATGTTGCCACCTACTGCAACTCATCCCGAACACCAACTTCACATGAAATAGCCTGAAACTGAGTCAACAACATAGTCGGCTTTTCATTAAGGCTGGACGTACCTCAGCGCATAGCTACTCAGTGATTCCGCCATAAGTAGCCATTGAACGTTTCGGCGCCTACGCTCTTTATGTGCTCAACGACAGTCTGGACGTTAAGAATTCTATCCGACCGGACGCATCATTAGCACCATGTGTCAGCGGACCAGTTTAGTTGTTGACACATTTGTGAAAGAGGTAAGTTTATTAACAGAAATGTATTAGAACGATCATCTATGCTAGTGAAGGATATGTTCAAAATGTCCGCCGGCATTCTGCTTGCAGTGCAGAAACCGCTTGATGTAATTGGAGAGCACTTTCTCCAATGTATCCCTCATGATCGCACGACATTCGTTCACAATATTCTTTCAATTGGTCCAATGTACGTGGTCTTGTCTTGTACACTCGGCGCTTCAGATACCCCCATAGAAAAAGTCCATGGGTTCAAATCTGGTGAGTGAGCAGGCCACTCCATTGGTCCACCAGGTCCGATCAAATGGTGGCCAAATCTGTCAGTGAGGTAAACACGCACCGTTTTAGCAGAATGTGCAGGTACACCATCCTGCTGCCACCAAATGGTACTGCATGCCCCTTCAGCCTCCAACTGGGGAAGCACAAACCTCTGCAGCGTTTCCAAGTACGAGGGTGCTAGGAAAAGATAAGGCTTTAGTACTTCAAAACAACAACCTACCGGTCACATTCCCGGAAAAGAAATATGGGCCCAAGATTTTCTGGCTTGTTAATTCGGCCCAAACCATCAGTTTCACACTGTGGTGCAAACGTGATGCGGTAAATTTTCGTGGGTTGCTGGTAGCCCAAGTGTAATGTTTCAATGTTCCACGTAGATGAAACAATGTCTCGTCAGTAAAGATAACAGAACGAATATCCCCGTGATCCAGATATTAGCGGCAAAATTCACACCGCTTCTCCGGGTCGCAGGGGTTGAAAACCTGCGCGGGATTTTCCAAACGTTCGTTCCTGTAATCTCCGGTGTATCGCATATCGGGTCGTGTCATAGCGCTGCGCGATCCGACGAATGCCGCAATACAAAAGACAAGATGAAGAAAAAACAGTGGCACGGCGACTGAGTCCCCAGTAACGGATGCACACCGTTCCGGAGAGCTAACAGCCCGCTATCGTACAGCAAAAGTTATATTATGCCTAACGAGTAAGATGGTGATTGGAGGTAGATGTTAAGCAGGAGGGGGTGGACAAAGGAACTTACAACACAAACGCCACTGTAGCCGGCTCCCAGCCATTTCAGCAAGTGTGTCCAACCAAATGTGTTCATCCTCCTTCGGACTCCAGAAAGGCAGTCGCCACTCACCAATCGACGCCAACATCGAAGTGAGGGTTTTCATTTCTCTCGACCAAGTCATCGCTTCGTCTCCCCTCCTTCTCTTCCAACCGCACCCATAACGCGCGAACAATGCACGTCGCGGGAGAACGTGTGCTGGCATGTGCAACACGTGGCCCAGCTATAGGAGCCTCGTGCGTGATATTATGGTGCTCAGCGATTCACTCGCTCTTCCTGCACAAAATACGCGACGCTGAACACGCCCATTGCTCACGCGGTGCTCTCACCAGACATGAGCTATGCTGCGAAGGCAGCGATGATCGAATGTGACGAGCTTATTTATGCCTGTTGACCTGATGGGTCAGGTTTCACAACCATACAGGAGAATTGAACGGACAGCTGCGTTGTAAACTCTGCCCTTTAGGGTGAGAGTAATGTCGCGTCTGCGCCACAGGTGGCGGAGATTGGCAAAAGCACCTCGAGCTTTTGCTATACGGTTCGTAACCTCATCTTCGATCCCGCGGGTGCTAATATAGCTGCCCAGGTACTTGAATTCCTGAACGATTTCTAGCTGATCACCCCAAAGCGTTAGCGCAGGGGTGGGTCCCTGCCAATCTTGGAGAAGTACTTTGCATTTCGATGGAGCAAAGCATAACCCAAAACGATAGACAGCCAGTGCTAATCGGTCCAGTGCTGCTTGGTATGTTTGGGAGCTGTCACAGATTAGGACAATATCAAGTCAAGAAGTCACACACCAGGAATTAGCTCCACACCTTCTAGGTCGCGTCCAGCGAATGCTGATTCCATGACTTCGTCAACATCGAAGTTAGATAGGAAAAGTGACAGCGGGCAACCTTGTCTCACATCGCTGGTGATACTGAAGGGTAGCGACAGTTTGCCATAATACCCTCATTCTGCCCTAACTATGCGCGTACAGCTCTTTGATAATGTTTACGTATTTATCATACACACCTTTCCAAAGCGCACATCGATCGACTGAGTCAAAGGCACCTTTTATTTCAAGAAACACGACAACAGTGGGTCGTCAACAAACATAGCGGTGCTCCAACTATTGACGCAAGGTGAAGATGTGGTCGATGCAGACCCGATCTCGAAGAAACCCGGCTTGCTCCTCTCGAATCTGGCTTTCACAGGTGCCAGTAAGTCTATGGAGAATGACAGACGCAAGCAATTTAAAAGGTAACTAAGATCAGACTGATACCTCTATGATTGCCGTATTCCGAACGGGAGCCTTCTTTGAAAACTGGAACTATGACGGAGCGGCTCCACTCTGTCGGGATAGACTCTTGCTCCAAAAGTTTCACTAGCAACTCGCGTAAATGATCTCCTAGAGCAGATCCCCCGAATTTGAAGAGGGCTGGGGGAATCCTATCTGCCCCTGCGGTCTTAGGAAATTTCAACAGCCTGATCTCACGTTCGACTTCTGCGCCTGAGGGCGGATCCAAGGAGACGGTACGGGGAGAAGAGCGCACAATGCCCGAAAAATAAAGCGAGAACTCGAGTTGGTTAAATTGCCTTGCAAAGTGTTCGGTCCAACGCTCCAAGCGGAAGATACTTAGTTTGACGCCTTTTTAGGTTTCCAGCGTCACTGTTATAATGAATAGCAACCGGAATAACGTTGTGCCCTAAAAGCAAACAAATCGATGATTCAAATAATAGTCAATATTCGGGGACCTGGCGTAGATAGAGCAAGCGACTTCGACGAACAATCATGATCCTTTTAAGTTGGTCCAAAGGGTAAACGTACGCCGCCTGATGTATCAGTGACTACTGATATTCATGGACAGATCTGTAGGACAGCATGATGTATTGTGAAATCGGGGGAAGGGCAATCAATTCTGGAACAGAAAGCTTCGCCGAAAACGACAAAATAAAGGTTATGCTTGCAAGAGAAAAGCGACGGGAATAGTGGTGGGAGCTCGAAAATGAAAGGAAAGCCTACAGTGATATCAGCCGAATGCAGCTGATGGTGAAGTAACGAGTTCGCAATCGACACCTTCCCTCGTTCAGTAGGCACAAAAAAGGCGAAGCGAAAGCTTGCGTTTGAAAGCTGTGTTGTTAGAATGAACAGTGTAGCTTGTATGCAGATAACAGTAGATAACGATCGTCAATTTGGCACGTACCGAACACGAATCCACGTCCAAAAGATATTGAGAATCAGAGGGTTGCCCCGTTCTCAGAGATAGGTATTCCTGTTGCAGACGTTTCGTTGTCAAACTAGGCAACATCCTCATTGCGTCTATTAGGTCTTGATTCGCGGAGTCTTCATGTCGGTCAACAAGATGAAGACGTGGTGACTCGGTCGACCCACGTAAGACAATGAAAGGCTGACATTTGAAGCAGGAAACAATCAAGAGTCAACCGGATCTGGCAGTGGCTTGCGAGACTCCGTGAATCAGGACTTTATAGGCGGACGGAGGATGTTGCTTAGCATGGCAACAAAACGTCTGTAACATAAATGCCTAGCTCGGAGAGCAGGAAAACCATCTTATCTCAATAATTTCCAGACATTCAGAATTCCACAATCGATTCGCTAGAGTAACCAGATGACCAGTAAGCATCATAATATCGGTATTATGGGAAGAATCCGTTTTGGAAAGCTCTCTAAATGCAAATTGCGAATCTGTATACAAGAACAAGAAGTTGTCGCGTAATAAGACACCGGTGCAAGGCTGAACGGTTTATTGAGCTCTACAAAATGCGGCTAGGCTGTCTTTGCATACATCACTAAACCGTCTGTCTTTGGATGCATGAACGATACATTTCGACCAGCTGAATGAAACCAATGACATGTCAGAACTGTGTGACGGCAATGATCCTGGATACTGTTTAGGAGAGGACTTTCCGCCATTCGGGATGAAATCCTTAGTAGGTAGAAAACTTATCCGAAGCGATGTGGCTATGTGGCTAATATTGTTCCTGCATTCCGTCACTTATGCACAGTGGTCAAGCTTTCAAACCAAGTTAGCTTATTCGCCGGTTTATAGTTACTCTTTTTTCGTTACGTTTTGTTTCGTTATCCTGAATCGTCACTGCCAAGGTGCTGTGAGTCATGGCAAGTAGATCAACTGTGTGTATAAGCAAGAATCATGGCTTACCCAAAAATGACAAAAGGAAAACAATTCAAAATTGAGGGATGATGAATTATGAATGGGTGGGACAGTCAAACGGGGTTCGCAAATGCAAACCGAATGTATCTGATTCGATGCATTCATATCATCCATTATGCACTAAAAAAGCCAAGTGGAATAGTAGAAATCGATTCAGTACTTCTCGATAAGTCCATCCACAACCAGATCGTTGAGTCGGGATTTCAAAAATCAATTGGACGTTGGGTGCCGCCAGTTAGGGTAGTGAGGCCTTCAAGTATTGAGTGAGAGTCCCATCGAAAGTGAACAATCACAATGGAATGAAGAAACGGGAGGATTTTTATCCTATAGGTGAAAACGATCTAGCCTAGGAAATTTTAGCTATAGTAACAATGCCACCTGCGAACATCTGTGCGCAGTATATGACGGCTAGTAAGTTGGCGAGGTTCAGTTTAAACCACAGACTAAGAGGAACAGAGCCTCTTGGGCCACGTAGTTCATCAAAATCCGTTTGGAGAACAAGACATGAGAAACATTCGTGAAGTGAAGTTGTGAGACGGATAACTCACTCACAGCTCCGGTCAGGGTGGTCGAATAGAATGCGGAGAAGAAAATCACCCGGTTGGTCTGCAGAATAAGTACAAGGCACAATCAAATACTCGTCCGGTAAAAGGCGCAGGCGTTTGACCACTTCCCGCGAATCGAAAAAGTAGTCCACACTCGCGATGTGATGATTGGAGTCAAAAAAGCCGCGAGGCATGGGGGGATGGGATCCGGCGGGCAGCTGGGAATGAAAGCAAGGAGAAGTGCACAAGACCATTGTAATTGTGAATGGAGTGAGGCAGTGGACACAGGTGAGGGTAGTGCACAATGAGAAAAGGATGAGGTTTTGATGAGACAGGAACTCACACACAGACACACACACACACACAATGGAAGCAGGATCTATGGCAGGAGAGCAGAAAGTGTGTGAAAGCCAAACAAAAGCGAGTAGGATTAAAAAGGTTTGGTTGATAAAAGCATAGGCAGCTATCCAAAGTCATATCAGCTTGATAACGATGCTACAAATTTTCAAGAGAGCGGAGGCCAAATAAAGGATGGATTTAGGCAGCTGCAACATGTTGAAACAATACGTCGATCTTGCTGTCAGAAAAGCGCCTCATTAATCAGCTGGTGGATGGCTCGCGAAATTACACGATGATCGAAGAGGAAACATAGGCGATCCTATGGTGGAAGGTGAATGGTGATGAAGGGGTAGGTGTGGATTAAAGTGTCAGGTAACGAGAGAGACGAAGAGTTAGACAGTCCCCTGCAATCAACTGCGGCCTGAGCACCATAGTGGTGACAACCGTGTCACCGAATATCACATGGAGAACGCGTTGAGGTGGGCCTAAAGAAGCTTGATGGCGGAATATTACAGCGCCACGTATATAGAAAAAGCTCGTAGAACGACCAGTACACCAACTTCCACATCTTCGTACTCCTGAGGCTGAAACGGAATTTAATTCATGATCTAGTCAGTAGAGCAAAAACTGCTCGCATGATACACTTGCAGGTGAACTACAGCGAATATGCTCGATGATAAAAGAAAAGGGTTATCCAGACCACTTCATAAAAGTTCGCATGGAGAAGAGGATGAACACACCGGTGGTCTTAACGGCCAACAGGAAACCAATTTACTTACAAATCAATTACAGAAGGAAATCGCTGCCGAAATTCTTAATCAAAGTCTATCACAGGAGCTCAGACAGACGTTCCCAGCATGCAAAATTACATACCTACTTTACCAGCACATCGGTGGTGAAGCTCAGCCTCAAGGACAGGAGATCTGTCCGCGACAACTCCATGTGCATCTGTTCATTTACCTGTTTCTGGGGAGCAGGATATATTGGTCGTACGTCTAGGTGTCTATCCGAGAGTGAAAGAACATCGGCCGGCATGGTTAGTGACTGGATGAAGAAGAATATGTAACTCAGCCATAGCTGCCCACCTTGCCGACACAGGGCACAACCCTAGGTCAGCCGAAGCAAAACAACTTATGTACAAGGACCCGGATAATCGATCTAAGTAAATGCGCAGACGGATACTAGAAGCCGCTGAAGCTATAGCAATTCGGTTATACGAACCGAAGCGGTGCATGCAGAAGCGATTTGCTGAGGCCTTACAGCTGCCCTGGCTCGATTGAATAGTGATTTTTACTCAGTTGGATCACGTGAAGGTCCCGACATCGACCTGATTAATGGCGATGGCTGATCTCTTTTAAACTGATTTTACCCGTTTTAACGACCTCAGCAGTCCGTCTAATGATGTAATTGGTATATAATTGTACAAGTCTGAAGAGGAATTATCGAAAACATATGGTCGTTAATGGTGACTTTTGATGTCGGCCGGTGGCCGGTGGCCGTTCGGTTTGCAAACATAAGGTCACCGGTTCGAATCCACTTAGGGGCGGGCGTCCTCACGGTATACTCAGCCCGCGCGCGACTGGTGGTGGTCGCGCGGCAGCGAAGCGCCGTTACGGCGTACAGCTGACACATTATTATTATTATTATTGTTATTATTATTATTATTTTATAGTGACTTTTGATTAGCTAATGGGTTTCTTTAAAACGCGATAAGTGTTGCGGACAAAAAAAATAAAAAGAGCAGGAAAGGAAGAAGACGAACATATGTGTTCCCAAAAGCACTTTTCATAGAAATATTAAAAATAAAACAGAGTACAATACCAGCACAGATTGATAGGGAGCGTCCCGAAATTCTACCGTGGCCAATCGCGAGATACCCAACTGGGAGAACAAGGGATATTCAATTTTTATAGTGGTTTCTAAACACTCTTGCGAATATCCTATCCTGTGAGACGCTCGTCATAATCAATGATTCCTTTACTGTGATCCCCACTACAGTACTATTTATTCTAGCCCAAGGTTTATGCGCTATGGAACACAATTCTGATTCGGTGGCCGGACCGTCAGCCCTGTTCAGTGTTCATAAGCATCCACCATGCAATTTGAGAATTCGTCGCACTATATTGGGTTGCAAAATACAGCTTGACCCTGAGGCGAATGATTTCAATCCCGTTAAAGCTGGTAACACCAGTTGTATTATCAGTGATCTTAATTGTATCCCTCTGCGCCATCTTGGAGAAGGAAGTACAGCTCGTGTTTGATACACTGACCCACCTGAGCGCGTTTCATGTTACATCGTATTATCAGTGGTCTCATATCCTTGAGACCTTTTATCTAGGTGCAGGTCATGGTTGAAAGGCAACTCGCTCACGTACCGTTGAACCCATACAATGCCAGACAATGACTGTGCGTGACACAGACGCAACGCTCAAGGCTCCGTATAGCATCCTTTGGTTGCACGCCTAGCTTAATTCATTGCCATATGAAAGCATCGCTAGTTGTACATGTGTGCCGTTTGAAGCCATATTGGTTAGGAGCAAACCAAACGTTACTGATACGGATTCGTGGTGTAAGCGCAAATTGTCGAGATATTGCGTATGTTAGGTTGTTAATGGTCTGTAAATGCTATGGTTATTCAGTTCGGCCGCGTTGTTTTGATTCCGGTGAAAACGCGTTGCTCCAAGCGACTGGTCTCTTACTCGCACAATGACGCTTGGTACGACGTAGCTAAATTCTGGTGGAGAAACCGTCGAAGTACGCGACCCGTACTCATGCGAAGAAGCGACCCAGCAAGTTTGGCTGGCATCCAAAAGGCTCTAGCGTGTTGCCAAGTGATCTGCTATCCAATAACGAGCAGTGGATCCAATTACTATGCACTGTGTTTGCTGGATACGAACTATGCTTTAATGGCAAACGCAGCCACGGTGGACGCTTTACAACTGCAGTAGTATAGCCCATGATCCCACAGTGGTACAAGCCAAGTTGTGGGGCCGTAGACCGTGCCCGGAAGTTACATGGGGTAGAAGGCCGTCAACAAATGCGGTGGGTGCCGTGAAGAATCCTAAAAGTTACCCCCATACGTACGGGAATCCATTCAGTAAACCGATCACCCAATGCGATACAATTACAGAAGTAGGTGAACCCATCGCAGTGATTGTTCACTGACTACAAGGAGTGTTGATGAGACTACAGTTATGTGACAACACCTGGTAACCCGAGCGTTGCATTATAAGCCGGCCAAGTCAACAGCACCAGCTACAATGGGGTGGTATTATCTTTAACTTCAAGCCCGCCAATCATCTACTTAGCCCAGATTTCACTCTAGATGAGACAGGTAAAAAGGAATCGTTCACAAACATTCCTATAACAAAGCTGGAGAGAAGGGGAGGAGCGGGGTAACTTGTTGAGTCTATGCTGTAGTGGGTTACTCAGAGAAGAGACCCCCGCAAACGCACGGGAAAAGCTAATGCACTGCAATACCATAAGAGGTGACGTGTTACTGAGAGCAACTGTAGTGCGAGGAAGGCTTTTCAAACAGGTGACATCGTCAAGTAGATGGACTTAGTTCATCAGGTCGGTTCGCACCAGGTTACGGAGAACCATACAGATATAAAATGGTAGCCAGCACTCAGTTCAGTTGATCAACTATGATCCGAGCACCGAAATGCTGTGGGTCCAGTTGCCACGGCTCACATCACAAGAATAACGATAAACAACAGCAAGATAGCGGGGTTAAAGGCAAATAGAGTGTAAAGAAAATGGAAGCAAGAAGAAACTGCTGCTTTTCAAGATGTTACACAAAAGGACCTATTTCAACCTGCCTACATTCAATTTACAACATTGCTCAACTCGAGCAGTGGTCAAACACGGCCAAACGTTTAATGTCTTCGCCGCGAACTGGCCAGGTCTCTGATCCATACAGTAACACAGGCCTTACCGCAGCGTTATACACCCTACCTTTCACTGACAGGCTGATATCCCACCGTCTCCATAGATGGTTGAGTCTCTGGAAAGCCACACGGGCCTTGCTGATACGCGAAGTAACTTCCTCAGTGATGTGACCACCAGAGGTGACACAGCTACCAAGGTAAGTGAACCGATCCACCACTTCCAGTGGCTGTTCGGTGATAGCTAGAACCGGAGGTGTGTCGGTCCAGTCCTGCAGCAGTACTTTGCACTTTGAAGGTGCAAAGCACATGCCGAAGCGTGCAGCGCTACGCGTCAGTCTATCCAGTAGTGTTTGCATAGCCACTGCGTCAGACCCAAGAAGAGCTATGTCGTCCGCATACTCCAGGTTTGTCAGTCGGTCACCTGGCAGAACTTCCACTCCGGTAGAGTCTGAAAGAACGGAGTCACTCATGATCATTTCGATAACAAAGTTGAAGAGGAAAGGAGATATAGGACAACCCTGGCGAACCCACTTGTCGTGGGGAACTCAGGAGACAGTTTCCCGTAGACCCTTACACGGCCTCGGGAATCACGGTAGAGACTTAAGAATGGAAAGGAATTTAGCCGGCACGCCCTTCATGGATAGGCAGTGCCACAAGCTGGCGCGGTCAACAGAGTCGAAGGCAGCTTTCAAGTCAAGGAAAACCACCATTGTCGGTCGTCTGTATGTGTCTCTGCTCCAACACTTGGCGAAGAGTAAATATGTGGTCGATACAACCACGACCAGGGCGGAAGCCAGCCTGGCTTTCAGTGATTCGGTTCTCACGGGGACCAGTAAGTCGTCGGAGAATGATACCCGTGAGGAGTTTGGATGCAATGGAAACAAGGCTGATGCCTCGATGATTTTCGCACAAAGTACGCTGACCCTTCTTGAAGATGGGCACGACAGTTGACAGTCGCCAGTCTGAAGGCACCTCTTCACTGTTCCAAA